ATGTGATAAACACATGAAGCACAAAGCAGATATTTGTGACACTAAACGCATGTAAGCTGTTATAATAGATACTAAGCAATATTAAAAGTATTTTGTATAATATTGATAATTGCTAAAACAGGCACAATGTGTGTATTTTTGAATGATCACATAATGAACAAACATGCAAATGATAGATACTTTAAACAGATGTTACTACCTGGTTTAACAGTAGACCTTGTGCTGTTGGTATCATTGTAGCTGTTGTAGGATTTGGCTGAGGGCCAGCAAGAACTAACTGCGGTTGAGTTTGTTGTGTTACCTTATAACAAATCGATAACTCATGTTTACATAATAATAAATAATAAAGACTTCCAAACATTTCGTGAAGATTATGACGAAATAGAATACATTACTTGATTTGTAATCGTGGTGGTAACACGTTGTTGTTTTTGTTGTGATCCAGTAGCTTGTTGATTCGGAGGTTTTGGTAAAATTTGTGGTGGCTGTTTTGCGGGTTTAGTTGCTATTTGAATTTGTTGATTTCCAATTAAATGCGTTCTAGTTACTAACTGAGTCGGTGTTGATTGATATCCTTGTGGTGTACCATGAATAATTTGCAATACTTGCATACCTTGTTGAAGTATTGGTGTATTAGGTCTGACCTGGAAATGAGACAAATATAAAAATCGAAGTTCTATATATTATAAATTAAATGAACCGTAAGTTACTTCTTACCACAGGTGGTCCAGGGCTACCACCAGGTGCTGGACTTCTGTTGTTCAGAGAGTTATTTCCGCTTAATAGATGAGGACTTTTTGCAGGAGGATATGGGCTAAGTACAGGACTTTGTATTTGACTAACACTCATTGGACTCTGCATTGGACTTTGCATTTGTATATTAAAATTATTATTCGAAGTTGACGTCCCAACTGGACTTGGACTGTTTCTGTTAGACTGTATTGAGTTCGATGCTGGACTTCTAAGTAACAGTCTGTTGGGACTAGGGCTCGGTGTAGGTGGTGCAATATTAGATGCCGGACTTTTTAGCGGTATCGAAAATGGACTGCTCGGAGAGTTGATATTTTGACTCTGAATATTTTGCATAGACTTTACAGTATTTATTGTACTGACCACATTTGATGGTTGAGACGAACCCGTTAATGTTACAGACGAACTTAAACCAGGGTTAATTCCCTGCGAATACTGTCGCTGAGGTTGAAATCCAGTTGACTGAGAGGAACTTAAAGAAGAACTATGATTCAGTGGCATGTTTGGTTCGTTTGATGCAGATATATGCTGCACATTAGATGTTGACACATTAGATAAATTAGAGTGCATTGTACCAAGATGTGAAATATTTGTAGTAAGATTCACGTTTGAAGCGTGATTCACATTTGCTGTGGTTGAATGGTTTGAATCACTTGCCGTACTCGTGAATATACTAGAACTTGTCAGAGTACCAGTATTTGATATTTGTGAAATAGTAGAAACGTTTGAATTTGGGTGCTGCGATATAGCAGAACTTGGTACATGTGCAATATTTGACCCAACAATATGTGGTGCAATGCTTTGTATACTTTGTATAGCTTGGAATGGAAATTGTGTACTGCTGGAATTAAGACTAGTTTGAGTCAATCCAGTCGTTAAAGCATTAACAGGTCGATTGAGACCTTGATTTATACCAGAATTTATACTGGTAGTAGTTAAATTTGCGTTTATAGTTGGATTTATAGCAGTTAAACCAGATACACCAGAATTTGGAGAGGTAAAGTTTGTGCTCAAACTGGTAAGATTCTGGTTTATGTTTGAATTCAAACTTGTCAAATTCGGATTTACATTACTAATTCCAGTATTCACACTGGACAATCCGGAACTTATATTTGTTGAATTTAATGTATTGAGTCTATTTATTCCAGTATTTATACTGTTTAAATCCTGTCCCAAACCAGATAAACCATTATTAATACTGTTTGAACCAATATTCGAGGTTAAATTAGAGTTTATAGCATTCAAGTGATTGAGGCTAGGATTTATCGGAGTTAGTCCTGTATTTATACTTGGCAGGCCCAAATTAAGCAAAGGATTTGACGTAGTGATAACATTAGATGTGAGGGATGTAAGGCTGGTATTTAGAAGTGATAGTGGCAATCCCATATTAAGGCCCACCCCAAAAGTGGGGGTGGCCGGGGGTAGGCCCATACCAGTCCCCGAGGGATTTATGGTACCCTGATTTAAATGGTTTAACTGGTTAACATATACTATGTGATTTCCAGTTGTTGACCCATTTCCTTGGTCTTGTGGCTGAAAATTTTTATAACAAAAACAAACATTACTAATTTTCTTTCCACTTCAATGTAATTTCAAACAAATCATTTATACGTCAGTAATAATATTTTTGTTAAAATTACTTACATTATTTGATGCCTGTTGTAAAGCAAATGTCAACGATTGACCACTCGAATTTTGAGCCTGTAGTTGCTGTAATTGTTGTAACTAGAAAACAAAATAATTCATTAAGTATAATATTATGTATAAAATGATTCTTTTATATAATGTTTGCTAAAAAGATGATACTTGTTGATGTGTCAATACAGCAACAGGATTGCTACGCCGAGCAGTCGGGGAAGTTGTAGAGGATACTGAGTCCCCGAGAAGAGGGCGTGACTGAGGCTGCTGCATGCCCACGCAGCCCCTCTTTACTCTGGGCAGCGTCTAGCCACCTTTTCAGCTTATCTGTGCTTGCTTTTATATACTCCTATATATTTGCAACACACAGTGAAAATTATTAATTTAAGTGAAATCAATAGCTGGATAAGTTCAAATAAATTCAAAGTTATACGATAATCCAAAAAACTTCAATCTAAGAATACATGTAAGAACAATGTTATTCAAAATATAATTTTGTAAGTGTTATTGTTATACAAAAAAGAATATTATTTACCACTGATAAATTATTATTTAATGACAGAAGAAGTTTGTATTTGCGCTACGGCGCCACTCAACGCGTCTGCGACCTACGTCTCCTATTCCTGTCATGCATGTAACTTCGTATTTTACCCTTTATTTAGGTAACACTTTTCAATTTTCCCCAAATATGTATGCTTACAGAGTTTGTTGATGTTTCTGGTTAATATCATACTTCAATGATAACCACGCTTGGATATTAATTTCTTGTACACAGTAGGTAGTTCTTTTATGAACTACATTATCCATTAAAGAATAACTGCACACTAGCATTTTGAAAGTATTTTGACTTATCCTTTAAGAACATTTGTAACAAGATTACATCCATGTATAAACACAATTGAACTACATTTTTCCATGACACTACATTAAAAACGATGCATATAAAACACTTCCAAATATCACTCCATAAATATCAAGTTACATTGTATTATCCCAATTCCAAGCAATACTGGTACATATTTGAAATTTATAATTATTTAAAACACTAATATCAGGACATTTTACATTCGCACTGTATACATGATTTAGAGCTGCTTTAAGTTTCAATTTGCTTTGATGTCACATACACAACACTTATGGTTTCACATATCTTGTAGTTCAGTTGTATCCTGCAACATACAAACAATATTCAATTAGACATTATAAACTTACAAAAAAGACTAATACATTTGATAATTTCATCAATACAACTATGCTTCTTCTAAATTTGTGTTATACTGGTAAAGTTTGAATTCATCAGAACTTTCACTCAAAATAATATACACACTATTGCTATGAAGTTTTGTTGTATGTAGTATGATAGCAATCGTCATGTTTTTATGGTACAATGACACTTATAAGTGTAATTAACTATTCTAAAGCGGGAAAAGGGTTTTGTATAAAAATTCGACAGCTGGAAGCATATTTTGAGGTTATAAGTTGCGCGCCTGTGTGCAAGCATACGTGCCACACAAGCCACTTACACGCATACAAGAATCGCGTATATCTCACTCTCACTTATTGGGTACCAGCGGCGCGCGGATGCACACAACAAAAGCCCAACTGACAAGGCGTAAACAAAAGAAAAAGCAACCATCTGTGAAAAATTTTTTCGTTTGACTAGTCAAGAAACTCAAAGGAGGTATCCTGGATGTGTGTATTTCATATTGACGCGGAAAAATGCGAGTAGCGTCGCGATGAAAAATTGTCAATATTACCTCCGCGAACGCGGTTTTGCCACCCGTGTTTTCTTCTCGCGAATTTTCGTTTTTTCGCACTTCTTTCAACGTGATTTCAGTTCTGAACACAATGTCATGTCCCTCTGCGAACGAAAACGACATGCGTAAACTACGCGAGAGGAAAAATTCTACTTAAAATAATAAACTTCCCTGGCACACGACAGTTCCATGTACGCGTTACACTGTTCGGTGGCAACGGCCATTATGTATTTGTCAAGGCTGCCATTAGCACAAGTCTATAAAATCCCAAAGCTTTTACCATTGGCGACACCTCGGTTATGGTACTGTAACTTTTTACAACGATCATTTAGCGAAATCTTTATCTTGATTGGTCAATGCTTTATTTATAACCAATCGGTGAATAGAAACTAGTGGTGATTTTGAATACCATAGAATTTGGAAGGTTTTAAATAAAATATATTTGTTAAATATTTGTTATCTAAATACACATTAATATTTCATATAATTCAATTACAAACAAATTTAAAATTTATTTTATAGCCACCTAAATTATAAATTGTTATCCATTTTAAAACTTTTAAAAGCAATTTTTCATTAACGCATTTGACGCACTTTTGGATTATTTATATAATATATGCGATATATGTAGATATAATAACTATACGCATTATATGTACCGATTTCATAAATTGGATTTATAATTAAAGAGATGTTAACATATACAGAAAGCAGAAATATTTTTTATTTTAAATAACAAAAAAAGAAAATAGTATAAACAACATAATTTTGTAATAAATTTAACTTAATGTTGCAAATTTAACTTAATTTGTTGAGAAATCTCTCACCATAAAAAATCATCCTAATTTATTATTTTTGTTACAAATAAAAACTAAACTTTATTACCACAGTTAATTATAATCCGAATCAACAGATCCGACTACATATGCTACAACTGTTGCATGATCTAATTTTCCAGGAATCATGGAAACCTTGTCCAAAGTTTTTATTCGTCGACTTCTTTGTTCTTGTTTGGAAAGTTGAATTAATTGTCCGTCTTTATTTTGTGCATAGTATAAATCTGTATCTTCCAAAATTCGTCTTTTGGCGGCAGTTATACGCACCTTGTTACATGTAACAATTAAGCTTCTGTTAGTATTTAAAATTAGCACTCTGCCTTATCTAATCAATTTTAATTTCATTTACTGCAAATTTGAATAGCATGCAATAGCATTATATAATATTCAACTTACTGCAAAATCCAAGAGGAGTTCGCATAGATGTTTGGCACTGTTACAGGGTGGACCTTCTCCAGATACACCTCTTCGTAACAAATCTTCCATTCTAAGAAGCGTAAGCTCGTGCCTTTGATACGCTTCCACTACGGGCAAATTAGACTTATTTTTATTACTATTCCCAGATTCCGTATGTCTTAAATTTTCAGCAGATTTTCGACGCGTTTTTGATCTTCCCTCGGTATGATCTTTTACATTTGAATCAAGTACAGCATTGTGACATGGTAAAATAGCAAATTTTCCAACTACAGGGTCAAAATTATCCGAAATCCCATCACTAGTTAGAAATACAATATCGCCTTTCTCAACTTCTGTCATTGCAAGCGTTAAATTGTTTAATTCGGGATTGGAACCATCTACTGGACCTAAGGCTCCAAGAGCATCGCGCATATCACGCATACAATGAATGTCATGGGATCCTCTTGTTATTTCTCTGACACCTGTTTTTCTGTAGACATAAATATTATTTTTATATTGAATAATATACTAATTTTGAAGTTCCTATCTATATTACCTTGAATATACATAAGCTAAACTGTCACCAACATTACAAGTACAAGCCATATATTTTTGTTGTCCTGTATTGGAACTTGGGTTTGGCAGTGGAAGAACTGCACAAACAGTTAATGTTGTAAGCATTCCTTGTTCTTGCAAAATTAACGAATGTGCAGCATGGAATGATCGAAGTAATGATATAAAAACATCTTTCGTTGTTGTCATTTCATTGTTAATGGAAGGAGTAAAAAGTGCTTTATTTAAATACTCCATACTTCCATGTACTGCAGACCTAGCTGCAATACTTGCTTTGGTACCTAGTAAATATATTTTATTATACATACACGTTTATTTCAAGCTTATATTACTGAAAAAAATAATCATACCCCAATTAACACCATCAGCAAGTGCTAAAATAGCTGAATTTGATCTTGCTACAATTCCAAAACAATCTGCAATCGGTTCTCCATTGTTTATGTTATTTGTAGGATTTTTCTCATATAATGTAGTAGCAATTCCATATGCCATTTCATGGGGATTAAACCAATCAACAACACCAGCAATTGTAGGAGTTGTTATGGTAGATGCTGAACAAATAATTCTTATTGTATTTTCTGTTTTTAATATAATTTATATTCAAAATACTTACTATTTCTGTACTGTTCATTTTGATCTAACATATCAATATAATCTATATCAATGTCATTAATACTTAAATGCCTTTGTTGCGAATTAACTGTTGTAAGTCCATTATCTGGACCGGTATGGGCAGCCAATATATCTCTATCTTCCTGGAAATTTCCTAGTTGTCTAATAGGCAGTTCTTCTGGATTTCTACCATGCAAAATTGCAGGTCCTTCTTGTTTTGTTTCTAGACTAAAGTCATTAAAAACATGTAACAATGTTTTTCACGCAATATTATTTAATAAGCACTGATTTATAAAAAATGTTACCCATCGAGATATCGTGTAATAAAGCAACCACTTGCAAAATCTTGTGTCATTGATCGAGGACTACGTAATGTTTGCTCTCCTTGACCTATATTTTCTACAGCTCCAGCCAAGTTACTAATAGACAGTTGTCGCATGAAACCAGCAACTTTTTTACGTAAACTTGGCATTCTTTTATGAAATTAAATTTATGTGCAAGTAAAAGAATAATCAATGTCAGATGTCATATAACATAATGTTACGAAGTATTTAATGTTTATCAATAAATTTAATCCATGATCTTAGAACAAGGAACTTAATTCTGACTCAAACCTTGAAAAGAAAAGAAAAAATTAGAAATATATTTACATAAACAATTATAAATTATACAGTTTTATTGTAAAAACAATTAACAAAAAATTTCTATTTTTAATAACTTTTGTACATATATAAAAAAATGTGTAAAAAAAGTGGTCAATAATCAAGATGACAATAATTCAACTTTTTAAATTGAAAGTTTACGTTTTAAATCAATTTGTGTGATATCCTTTAATCCTTTAATTTTAGGATGGAACATTATTATAATTCTGTAATGTAAAATAGTAATTAAATTCAAAAAAAAAATACTTTCAAACAGTATTTATAAAAATATTATAATTTTACCTGAAAAAAATTCTTACAGTACAGGAATGAACTCATAGTGCAGACTGAAAAAGCACATCGTTTTCCACTTTACCGCCATATTGATAATGTGTCAATAACCGATAAATTCTCTTATAAAAGCAGAATTTACATTTACTTCACTATGTTTCTCAGAATAAAATATTTTTTTAATTATTAAAGTATGTCTTAAGTTTCATGCACGCTTCAATTGATAAATTATTTGTTAAGGACAATAGAAATGTTAATTTTTACTATAATATCAAGGTATGTGCAATCAAAACCATCCCGTATATCACATAAAATGATTTTTAAAATTAATTTCGACAAATAGATTGTGGTTTACATCTTTGATTTCTAGTTGTATCATTGTGTTTAATAATCACATTCACGTATTCAACAATGTATAACTATACCTTATTTAGATTTTTTAATCTGTTTTGACATTTAACAAGTCAATATGGCGTTCTCTCCACAGGTGAGAGACTACTATTTTCCGCGGTTGTTTCTGAAGTTGTGTTTCAACAGTATTTGTACGAAAAAATCCATACGAGAGTTTGAACCTTCTTCTTTTTTAAATATTGTTATTCGTGTGCTAAAATTTGTCATATCAAACAAGTAATATTATGATATCACGAATTTCTTTTGATGTGTGTTATACGCAATGTGCTTAGATGCATAGTGACACAAATATTTATTTCATTCTACGGACTTGTCATTACGTAATCGTCATTTAAAATTCTGTCATCTGCGTGCTACAAATAAAATTATGCGTATAGTTCTTTTTTGACATTTCCCTTAGGTACCATTCCACATATAATTATAAATCATTTTTTTAACAAAACAGCTGTAACTTATTTTTAATACTTTGTTGTTATAAGAAACTTGACTTGCATGTGACTTGTTTTCACTTTTCCGAATGACAACTATTTTTAAGTAAATTAATTCACTCGAATTTGCGACGTATTTTTATGGGTTAAACGTGTAATGTTAAGGAGATAACATATTGAAAATATAGATGTGCATATGTTGCAGAAGATTCATTGAAATAAATGTGAAGAAGTAAAATGTTAAACCATATGAAATAATCAAATGATTGAAGAGCAATAAAGGAAATACTGGAAGGACATTTGTATGTAAATAAATATATAAAATGTGCGAGTCTCCGAAAAGCCTTCTCAAAATTTGCATAGATTTTATTTGTAATAATGTATTGGATTTGTGCGAAGTGCATGTTGATGATGCAGGAGAACATTCTCCAAGTTCATTGAATCCAACAACTTGTGGTAAGTAACCTTGTATGTTGTAAGTATTAAAATAAAATAAATGTTTATCTAAGTATCATATATTTTAAATTATATTATTTCTTGTTTTCAAATTTATTTAACTAATCTGTGATAGTAATAGAAAATTGTTTTAGCATAATAATTTGTGATTATAAAGCATATAACTTTTAGATCAGCAAGTTAATTTTTCAATGAACAGTAATAATATAGATATTTTGGGTGAAACAATAGCTAGGGCGTCTAATGATGGATCGTCGAGCTCAGCTAGAAGGCTTAGTTTTAAATATCCCGATGTTTTTTTACCGGCTGAAATTTCAGAACAATTATTGTCCAATCTTTGTGAAAATCAAATTTTATCCGATTTAACTATTACACTTTTTGATTCAAAGTCCACTAGATTAAGGTAATTACAAGTTATTTATTGTTTCTATCTATTTAATCAAAAAATAAGAGTATAAATTATTAAGCATATTTGGTTTATATTTTAGACATGTACAGTTAAAAGATGCATCTACATTATCAGCAAAAGGCTTGAAAGTTTTAAAGCAACATAAAGTAGTAAATTTAGTGGTAAATGGATTAAAAATAACTGTTAACGATTTGATAAATTGTTTGGGTGACTGGAGTATACAAAATCTTAGATCATTAAGCGTGGCAAAAGGAAGTTTCATGGATTGTTCACGGTATTTATTAACTATAAACAATTAAAATTGAAAATAAATGTTTTGTTTACACAGTTACAGTTTTTATTTTTCATGTTTCATAACAGGTATTGTGTGGTAGTAACATTAAGCAAATTGAGAGCACTACAAATATTAAATGTATCAGAAACAGAGTTTAATAAACATGGTTTGGAAATAGTGGTTGAGGACCTTCCCCTTCTAGAAAGTTTAAATATCTCATGTACAAAAGTTGATGATATAACACCGTTAAAAAAATGTAAAAACCGTCTGAAGACCCTCAATATGTACAATTTGAAGATAAACGACAGTGCAAATTTAATTTCAGTATTATTGGAGTTAAATGAATTAAGAAATTTAGACATTTCAGATGAAAAAGATATGCATGCTCTTAATTGTGTATTAGGTCCTGCGAAACCAAAAATAACAGACTTTTTAAAAGCTGTACATTGCATGCCACATTTAATTAGCTTAGATTTATCTGGTAAGTATTTCATAATCTAATTAATTTTTTTTTAAGTAATAAATAATATAATTTTTAATGTTTTATAGGTAAAGCTGATATAGAGCCAAAAGATTTAAAAGAATTTATTAAAGCACATCCACATTTAAGGTTTTTGGGACTTGTAAGTACAGATGCTTGTTATGATGACAGCTTAATAAATCCAGCAAACGAAGATTATAGACCCGAACTTGTTGTAAGTTTTAAGCATAATCTCTATCATCTTAAATTGTTAATATAAAATTAATATTTATATAAAAAAAATAGTTTTGAATATCAAGTATCTTTCTTCTTAGGTCAGTGGCACAGCAACAGAATCACAAATTTTGGAAGCTCTTAGGAGGTATACATGCAGACCACTTTATCTTGAAAAATGTTTATTTAATTTGTTTCGTTTAACACACAACTTCCTTGAATCACGAGTCGATGTTATAAAATTAATATTACCTGGAATGAGAGAATATCCACAGGAAGTTCGGGTACAGGTGCCGTGTACTGCATGCCTTTATAATCTCACCAAAGGTGAATTTGCTATTATGATTCATCCATCAATACTTAAACAAGTTGTTGAATTAACAATGATAGCTATGGAAACTTATCCAACTAACCATCGACTTCAAATGAATACTTTATTGACATTATGTAGTGACAGAATTCTGCAAGAGGTTACTTTTGACAAATATAGGTAATTAAAACTTTTCATATCAGTAAATATTTTAGAGTAAAATTTAAACGTGAATTACTTGTGATACAATTTAAATGTATAAAATACTCTTCAGCTTAATTACCTTTTATTTTCACAGATGTGCAAAATTAGTATTAAATTCCTTATTAACTTTTGATGATCCCTCAATGAATCGTATGTCTGTCGCTATTTGCTCATTACTAGCAGCAAAAATATCAACAGTAGAAACCTCTTTGCTTGGTGCTGAACCAATGTACATGTCTAAATTACTCAAAATGGTTAAATCTAAAATGGAAACTAAATCAGTAGACATAACAATGAAATTTACATTAAGTGCATTGTGGAATTTAACTGATGAAAGTGTTACAACATGCGAAGTTTTTCTAGATGAAGGTGGAATGGAATTATGTCTTAAAATGCTGGAAAATTTTCAAAACGAGTCTAGTGTTGAAACTAAAGTACTTGGTTTATTGAATAATATAGCAGAGGTAATTTAATGTATTCATGTAGTATATTACATGGCTGAAAGAACCAACAGTTAAGATAATATGATTATAAATACTGTTATTGACATAATATTTTATTACTCATTACAGGTTGTTCATTTAAGACCAAGGCTAATGCAACCTAAATTCATCTCTATGCTTTCTGTGCTGCTAACATCAGCACACATTGATGTATCCTATTTTGCGGCAGGTATTGCTGCACATTTGCTTAGTGATGGTCCACGTGCATGGACCTCAATGTTTACAGTTCCAACTAGAAATGGATTATTAGAGCAATTAGGTTATACTGTAACTCATTGGCAAACACCTCAAGGAGAAATGGTTGCATACAGAAGTTTCCATCCATTCTTTCCACTTTTACGTTGTTCCGACGCATATCCTGTGCAACTTTGGGCAGTTTGGGCAATACATAATGTATGCACAAAAAATCGTAAGTAGACAAATAATTGTTTTGCAGATAATATAGTTTCAAATAATTAACATATACGTTTAATTATATTAATTATTATATTTTTGTAGCGAAACGTTATTGCAGTATGTTAATTAGAGAAGGAGGAGTAGAGATACTGAAATACCTCGAAAGTACACATACAGAGCAAACAGCAAAACCGCATTTACAAAGTTTGTGTCGCTCAATTCTTAAAACACTTGAATTAAATTCTTAACGATCACTATTGCCTTCCAAAACAAAATTTGCGTACCATGAAGTTGGTATACTAGTCAATGTTTATTTCAATGCAATCTTATGTCCTGTTCTTTAGACCAAATAATTCAAATTATTATATGAACACGGATAATTATCAAAAAGGACTAACATGAAACATCAAGTCCATAATATTGATATTAAACTCTGTAGACTTGAATTGAGGACCTGAATTATGAAATATAGCTCTATATATTAATAAAACATATTATGCATAGACTTTATAGGACAGCATCGCCTTATATTAAAAAAAAAAAAATATATACTTATCGAATTGAGTAACCTCCTCCTTTTTCGAAGTCGGTTAAAAAAGTACATATGTTGAATACATAGCATAAGTTACATTTAAAACCTGATTATTGTAAAAAAAAGTATAATTAAATATTTAAAAATATACATTGAGCTTAGAAAAAGAAAAATTTTAAATGTTTTATTGTCACTATGTTTTTTAATTGTTAATTACATTATTATGTCTAATAATAGTATGCTTTAAAATGGATAAATCGATATAAAAGATAAATGTAATAAATAAGTGCTAATATATAAAGAATTAATTTAATTATTTGTTGTACACAACGCCGATTAATATAATAAAGTTAAAACTGTAACTAATATTTAAGATTTCAGTCTAATAAACTGAATAATTATATTATTGTGATATTTGTATGATTAATCGAAATTTTAAAAGAATTAATTTTTATTTGTCTCAGAATTAAGCATATAATGTATTTTTTCGTGATCGTGAAACAGTACTAACAGTGTTAGTCGAACTATTCAAAATCCATATAACTAAATGTTATTGGTGCTGACATTGTGAACAAATAGTAATTAGAATAGAATCTCATAAGTACAATATTCTTAAGAAATATCTTTTTTTATTATTATATATAAGCGTTATAAAATGTATTACTAAATATTTTGTTATATTACACTTTTAACATTTTAAATTCAGGTCTTCAATTTCTTTTGTTAATACTTACCATCTTTCCATTTAATTGCAACATCTTCAGAAATCAATTGTGCATTTATATGCCCTTAGACATATGAAAAGATACAAATTTCTAATAAATAAATATGATTATAGCTATTATTAAAATACTGCCAGTTGTACAAACAAAATTTATCTTTCCAATGACCTTAACTGTTGATTTTAAATATATAAAGTATCGATTTAAACGCTGCTAGATGTTAATAAACGCAAATCACTAATCTATTGAATTTGACTTTAATTTTATATGCTTTTTATAATATTAACACAGATATAAATAAATCTTGAAAATAGTGTACAAAATTTAAGCCAAGAAAATCTTTATTGATCACCCAATCATATTACATTTATGTTACACTTATATCTTAATTATTTTTTCTCTTTTTTTTTCTTTTTAATGGAACGTAAAAATTGTTCGTGAAATTTGTATGATTATCACTCAATTGATGCTGATGCTGCGCTGCACCTGCAAAATACTTAGCGACATGGAAGTAACGTTACGAAATGTAGCTCGATTAATATGTGAAAACTTGGCTCTCCTCCTAACATCATAGTAGTGGATTAATGGTTTAAAAACATTTTACACGCGTCTTACAAATTAGTAGCAATGTGTTTGAGATAAAATTGAGGATGTATAGTTAGTAATAAATAAATGAAAGTTGCTTACATTAGTATCAATATACGTCATATTCTATAACAGAATTATAAGAACTTACAGTTTTAGCAACTTTCACTTACTATGCATACAAAAGTTACTATTTAAATTATAGTAATATGATATTACTCTAGATATTTACATTGCAGTTCAACTCTTCCCTTTACTTTCGATATTTCAGATGCATATTTAATTATGTTTATATAACAAAAGAAATTTTATTGTTAAATAAGTATTAGAAATATATATTACAGGTATTAATAGTACATTTTAATAGTACCATTTAAATTACATAATTCATCACTTTTACTTTTTTTTTATCATACCAGTATCAGCCTTTATACCATACCAAAAATATTTCTAAAATTATTATTGCTATATTATAATTTCTTAAAATCATTTCCTAAACTATTAATATATTTCTGTGACATCAAGTATACTACAAAGTTCTTCTTTATACAATTCGATATTAGCCTAATATATTTTAATGCTATCATCATTATTATTAACAATCATTATTTTTATGCAATTTAAAATATTTTTATATCTTTATTATTTTTTTTAACAGTAGAAAAAATAATTACAAATTTTAATAAAGTACATGAATATACAAATTACTCTTAAACATGAATGTCAATTTTAAGACAGAGGTGATTTGATTTCAAAAAGAACTTTACTATTATTCTGACCAATTTAGTAGTGTTAAAGTATTACAAATTGGAGAAACAATGAGAAAGAGGAAAGTTATCATATTGTGGAGGATATAAAAATAATATCTTACAATTATACATGTAGAGTATAAAAAAAGTGACTATTTATTTTGAAGTGAAATAAACCTCAGCTTTTCAGAATACATAACACATTTATGATTATAGATATAATTGTAACAAAGATTTCTTTTGGGACTGAAATGACATTTAATGCATTTTTCATAATAAGTTCCTGAAAAATAATAAAGGCTGATACCATAGAATTCCTTAGATTGCAATATAAATGAGATAAAAAGCATAATTGAACTGCAATAGCAAATTATCGCTGATCTACATTTTTAATATTCATATGAAGATTTATTAAATCAAATATGATTAATTGTGCCCATCATTGTCCAATCTTTTTTTTTTCTTTTGACATGAGGTTTTTTCTTTCTCTTTTTTTCCCCATCGTATCAGTTTTTTTTTCTGTGGACATATCATAAGAATTTACTTAAACACCTTAGCTGCATTATAATGTAATGCATGTTCATATAAATATGTAAGTTTTGTGTAACCTATAAATAAGATATGCACAAAAACTTACAGTATCTAATATTAAAATGCACGTAGCCATATTCTGTATTACAAATTGAAATACCCATTATATTCAAAATTGAAATAAATACTATATTCTCATAATTTTATAAATAATTATATTCTATATAATTATATCTTTCCACAAATAAAAATATAGTTAAAATACTAAATTTTGTTTATATTAAAAATACAATTTTAATATAAGCGTTTTGTAACTACTATCGAAAATATGGCCAAGTGTAAAGGATAAATAAAAAATTGAGAGCACAGAAGTCCTAATAAAGCTAATGTATCTAGATATGAATTCTATAATATCCATCATAGAAATTTTGTGGATACTTCTTCATATTCTTAATTTTAAATTGCTGACAATTACAAATTCAATAACTTTTTATATTAAATCATATAGATACATCAGAATACTGATATAACAATCTACAACATCTATCAATTATCACTGAAAAAATAGTTATTTTACATTCATGTAGGAATTGCTAGTGAACATTATAGATTTATTTATTTTAATATTTAGTAAAATGATTGTAATATTTGAAAGAATTAATATTTCACCAGCTCTTCCTATAAATGTATCATTTTGTAGCACACAGATTGATTGTTCAAATAAAAAAATCTCTAAATTACCAATTTCTAATTGTTTTATAGTACAACACTATACTATAAAATACATCATAAGAGATTGTTAAAAAATTATTTCTCTAGACGGACATTTTACGTTTGAACAATCACAGAAAAGAACATGAATAGTTATATAAATTATAATATAAAAACTTACCTTAATTTGTAAAATTGCAGTAAAATGATTTAAAACGGTCAATATGGCATGTAGTAGCCTCGTTTATAACTCCTGCACCAAACAAAAATTTATTTTCTAAATTATTGATACTAAAAAGAACTGAAATTTGGTGCTAGAAAAGTTGTAGCGTACCTAGGTCGCCTTGTAGGTCTATATCCAAAATATGCACTACCACGTATAATCCCCCTGGCTACACCTCGATAGCCTCGCGTTCCACGCGGTCCTCTAGAAAATGTTTAAATATTTTACTTAATTTCTGCAATTAATATTATACATAAATCAACTCCAAGTATGGTACATGTCCATTACCTATTTGTTACTGATAATCCTGGTCTGTTTGTTCTTTTAGGCATTACTTTAATCTGACGTCCTCTAAACATAGATTCATCCATAGCCATAGCAGTTTGTACAGAATCACGTTCTGCAAATTCTATATAAGCAAATCCTTTTGGATGCCCATCAAATTTATTGCACAATATTGTTACTCTATTGACACTACCGCAACCATGAAAGTGTTGTTCTAATTCTTCTGCTGTAGCTCCATAATCGACCTTCATTTTCAGATAATAAGTTTATTAATACTTTTCATGTAAAACAAAATATAATGCATCTTTATTATAAGTGATTCTTTAAAATGTCAACTTACATTACCCACATAAATAGACCTATTATCAACCTCTCTTTTATCTTCAAGTGACATATTTAATGGACTTGCTAGAAATAAAAGAAATACTCTATAGTATATTTTCATTATAAAAACAGCAAAATCAATTTTAAATTAAAAATACTTACTTATTCCAGGTGGACTACCCATGTTCATTTGTTTGTCCACTTCGGATTGCAATTGTTTTAATTTTTCTGCTTCCTCTTCCATTTCTCTGACACGTGCTTTGATGGCCTCCAATTCCTGAAATTAAAAAATAAATGTGCTGTAATAAAAAAGCTAATACCTAAATATGTAACAATAAATCTGAAATCATGTATATTTGATTCTATGGTATAAAAAATATAATACCGGATCATCAATATTTGCTTCATTCAATTCACGTTTCACGCCATCACACTGCATAATAGCATCTCCATCTTGACCATTTTCTAGCCCATCTAGACCATCAATATGATCACTAGCTAAAAGATCTGATTCAGACATTTCTGTAACAAATACGTTCATTACAACAAATGTTATGCTTATATATAAAGGCTGATCCACTGGCACAATAGGACATAGACTGATTCTGCAAAGGAAACAAGACCAAAATAAGAAATAAAGTAAAATACTATCTAGAGTTTAAAAATGAAAGTTCTATAACACATTTTGTGACATTACAAATGTTTGTAAATACAGGCATGAACTGAATTATTTTTTCTCATGGCATTGTCTTATATTTAATTATATCATCAGTTAAGAACAAGCTTGTGTATAAATACATGTGAAGCAATAAATACTAAACTTAAGCATTATTGAAACTTGTAGGCTTTTTCTTATTATTCTAATAATCATTTATATTTCAAATTTGCACGCAATGTTGATAAATAATCTAATGAAGTTTACAATACTGATAACAAAATGAAAATTAATGATAATAAAAACTACTTATAATATCTGCTTCTTATTCACAGAATATTAAGGAAAACTTATGGTGAAGTAAAAATACTGAATAATACAATTATTTTGCACAATGCAATAAAATAAAACTGAGAACAATGAAGAATAAACTGTTACTATTCTTATACCACAAAAGAATTATTTTATAGTAGTGATGTATATAAAGAGAATTTAAACTGATTCAGGCGATTGTACAATGTGCTAAAAAACATTTATAACGTGCAATGTGAAAAATTATACGTTTACATTCCTTATGGAGTATAAGAAGATTATTTGCGATTATTAACTGCATAATAAAATAAAACGTACGGGTATACCTTCAGACGTTTCAAATATTCAAAATAATAGTTTTATGACAAATTCAATAACTATTTTCAATTAACAATTAACGATGTTCTACAAACTCGCCAAATGAGATTGACGCTACCATTGAACAAGATGAACAAAATTCAAGGTTTACATAAATTAGAAAATCGCCTTAACGTATGTTCAGGTTATGATTGGTTGCGACTTAATGTAGAAACGTATTGTTATTGGTCCTACCAAATTTTATATTTTCATGAATTTATCTATTTAAAAAAAGTATCACACATAATGGTATTCTCTTCGGTCAAAATAATTCTATTGAATTCCTTGTACAAAGAATTAATTATTTTAGCTATCATTAACAGAATTTGTTTATAATTTATAATATATCTGTTGGATACGTATTATGAGTTTTATGCAATATTTTCATCATTCACTACCAGATGGTACTAGTAGTATCGTTTTGAAAATGCATATTATATTGAAGTTGCAAAATATGAAAATATTTGCACAGTGTCTTTAACCTGTTAGATTAATTACTGTACAATAATTACCGGTTATTCTTGATTTATTATGTACCCCATTTATGATATTATAAAATATAAAACGTGATATAACAAATATCAAAAAGTAATAAGTAAAAAGTGTGCAAAATGAACAAAAAACCTAAACTACTGGTTTTTGACTTAGGTTAGAAAATTATATCAGAAAAACACAAGTATTATATCATAATCATTTTTTTCTATTAATTGCATAACTAAAATATATTAATAATTATGAAATGTTTCAGATTATACTTTGTGGCCGTTTTGGGTTGATACTCATGTTACTCCTCCTTTCAAAAAGTAAATTGACAAGTTAAAATTGAATAAAAATAAATATTGTAACAATCTAACATAGGATTTGTAATAGAAATTTTGTTCAATTTGTTTCAGAAAGGGAAATGATGTAGTAGATGCTCATGGCCAAATTATAAGATATTATAAAGAAGTACCTGATATTTTAAAACGATTGTCAGAAGAATATGAACTTGGGGTTGCATCTCGTACATCTGAAATTCAAGGTGCTAACCAATTATTAAAGTTGTTTAATTGGGATAAGTATTTTAAGTACAAAGAAATTTATCCAGGATGCAAAGTATCCCATTTTTCTAAGTAAGTTCTGTATAAATGATATTTCTTTTTAATAAAGAATTAGACAAAATTTTGTTTCTTTTCAGAATTCAAAAAGCATCAGGCATTGATTATAAAGACATGATATTTTTTGATGATGAACATAGGAATATTGTTGATGTGGGTAAACTTGGTGTTACATGTATATTGGTACAGAATGGTGTAACCAATACAGTTATTGAAAATGCATTCAAAAAATTTTAATGTTTACGCTTTTAGGAAAAATTTATCTAGAAAATGTAATTTGATTTTCAGCATTAACTTTTACTATTTATGGGTACTGCAACAGTATATATAGTAAATGGGGATTACTGAAAATAATAGCAAAATATTTTTATTTAATTTATTAAAAATGGATATATTTTAAAAATAAATCAGTCATTTAGAATGAACAAAGCTTATTATATTTAAATTTATTCAAACTTCATTAATCATTTTCAAATAATATTGTAAGGGACTAGTAATAGTAACATTACTATTGTTTGTTTGAGAAAGTATTTTAAAAACTTCAGCACAAGAATTCTGAGGGTTTTGAGAAGATATGGTAGCTAATATTTTATTTACTTGATTATTTGGTAATGATAAACTTAATAGATTGTGTAAAGTGTTTCTATCAAAATGTTTAAATGGACATCCACCTTCATACATTGGACTGGAAATATTTGCCTAGTGACATATTTGAAAAAAATTGCTTTTAATTTCAATAAATTATGATAATTGAATAGCATATAAGACCATTACTTACAAACATTAATTTACAACTAGGCGAGTTGTAATTTTTTCGTGATCCTTCTAAACCATAAAGGTGTCTAATGCTATATATGAACTTCTTTTCGCTTGATTGCCAATCGTGTGCACAAACAGAAGTGCAGGAATGAGGTTTGGAATACTCTTCTTTCCAATAATTTATAGCTTCTTCTATATGCATTCCTCCATCTTTTAAGAAAAGACTATAATGGAAACGAGCATAATGACTCAGTCTATGCACATTCCTTAATTTCATATGCAAGTGTTGCATACAAAGAGGAAAATATTTTGCTTCAATATCTATATTGCTCTTAGATATGCGTCCATTATGTAATAAGCTACTATTTTTAAATACTTTATAACGAACTTTCTGATAAAGACAATGAAATCTGGTATCTTGATTTAAAATATATTGTCCTTTTGATTTCATACATATTAGTTCTTTAGTTATGTAAGTGGTAAATAAGGATGCAATTATTTCTTTCCAGTTTGAGCAATGTACAATAGCAAATCCCGCATTTAATTCTAGTTCTCTTTTTCTTACTAAATCTGGTAGTAATTCGAACCTCACTTAAAAAATTTTTCAAATACATTAAATTTGCAATATAACAATGTAATCTCTTTTTATATATAGTAGATGTATACATACCTGTTGTTTTAAAAAGTTTACAATCATTGTTACATGTTGATACAAGATGTTTAAAAACGGATGATTTTGAAAAAAAATTACATAAATTAGTTAATGTCTTATTAATTAATGTTTCCTTGTCTGGAAATGGTTGTAACTGACGTAATATGCTTCTAAATAATCTATACAGTTGCCTTGGTAAAATATGATTTAATCTAGTTCTAAAAAACAATTTTTCTCTGGTAAACCAATAGTCACACAGATCTTTAGATGTTGATGCTAATAATCTAAAGCAAACATATTAATTAAAAAGATAAAATATTCAATAATTACTAATATTAGTAAAATAATGACTTACCGTAATGTAAAATGTCCAATCTTATCATAAACTGAGTTGTCTAATAAATATTCAAAATTATCTTTGAAGTCATGAGCCCTACCCTCATGTAATAATTGTAAATACTCTAACCTCACCATAACACATTTTTCTAATACATGAAGTGGTACTCTCCCTGAAGGAGCTCGAATGTAAAACATTTTTTAAACAAATAATTGTTTTAAAATTCTTCATTCTTACATTAGTAAATGTATATTGAAAATTTCTTATATATTCAACAGCAAATCTATCATCCTTAAAAAAATGGTGGTCAAGATGAAACAGTCCCGCTCATTCGAGATACTTTTTAAATTGAAAAAATAAATGTTTTGCAAGTATAAGCTTACTTTATTTTATTGCGAATTTTAGATTTCAGGAGGGTGATTGTGCGAATTACATTAGAACATAAGCTTTTGTTATTTATTTATAATTAAATGTTACATTCAAGTTTACATTTATAACGGAAGTACCTTGATAGTTTAATATGAGGAACAGATAAAAAAGATAATGATTAATTATAAGTAATTAATTTAAAAAAGGTGAAAGCATTCTGAAAGTCCTGTTCTTGCAAGTATTTTAAAAATTTAGATTTTCGCGCCCGTTGTTTGAAAACATTAGCGCCACGGTGAAAGGCGGAACTATCAAGACAAAAAATTGTATTTCTTTTTTAAAATAAAATATTTTTATGTTTTGTTGACACTTGTATATTATTTGATGAACAATATTAATGAATATATAACATATTAATGAATAAAATCAGTGTTAATTGAATTTTTATGAGAAAAAACAAATGGCGCCATCTCTCGGGCGAACAGGATGAACTACACACTTTTCAAACGGAAGTTAAACTTGGCGCCGCCTAGCGGTAGTGCTGGGCAGTCGTGAGATTTTATCTCACGCGAGAGCTTTATGCACATGCGTCAGCTGACGTCACAGCTTGCTGTCAATGCCGTACCTAGCCGGTACACGCAGTGGTGACTGATGAGGGCACCTTAATGATCCTACATAATTTTTCAAAAATTCTTATAATTCCACTGTAAACTATGAATGTATAGGTTGGGTTAGATTACATTAGGCTGGGTTAGGTTAGTTATATATATGACTGTATAAAACTATACAA